TGCCCTTTTCTCTTTTAATTTTTGCAGTAGCTTTCGATAAGAATTTGTTTGAAATCTCATCGATGAAAAAGAATATTTGTACACAATGTTCAAGATGTCACACTTCAAAAGGGCCTCAATGGCCGAGTGGTTCAGGTATTTCATCTACAAAAAACACTTGTTTTTCAACACATGTTGTGAGAGAGTTTGAATCCCGCACGTGACAGGTGCGTTCGATTCCGATCTTTATTGACTAGTTTGGCAGTTTTCCTGCCGAAGGTCGGTGGTTTTTCTCGGGCATCTCCAGCTCCCTCCACCAATAAAAACTGGCCGCCATGATATAGCCAAATGTGCTTAAGATGACGTTAAACACACACAGTCAATCATGCATTATAGACAAATGTATCTACAGAAGAAGCTCAACTCGTGTTGTATGGTATTGAAATGTGTTCTATTAATTGTTTTGCTACAATTATGACTTTCTCTTAGTGGAAGAAAACCATAGCAAACGTAGCAAATCAGTTTCTTGTCCGTTCTAGTCCAACAGACCCAAAGGGTTTTTGTATCCATGTGGTCGTCCAGATTTAGTATTCTACATTTCTTGATGTTTGGAATACACGATATCCAATTTCTTGACCCATTCAATAATATTGATTCAGATGGTGCTTGGTGGTATCAAGATATCATTTTATTTTCGAGACAAATGTTTGGTGTTATCTAATAGTGTTTTCCGGTACTGTCTATCTACCATGCCATCATTATTGTGTTATCTTTTTGAATATCAACCTCCTGTGTTAGCTTTTTTTTTTTTCTTTTTTTTTTTTTTTTGGTGAAGGTTTTGCTTATTGGCTTAGTGGCAGACTAACGGTTTGAATGGATGGGTTTTTATTTTGCTGTTTTGTAACTGTATTGTAACATAAATACCGATTGTTTTTCTAAAAACAGAATTTTCACCAAAACTGTTGAATACAAACTTTTTTAAGACACTGTTTCACGGTAAAAATAATAAACTTGGTCAGTGTGCTGAAAAGTCATTCATTTTTGGTCTTAGCACGCATTTGTTTTAGTATCGGTGAGTTAGAGCTCCTTAACCTGAAGCTTTTGATTTATGTATATTCTATTAACCTGCCTTTGCTTCAATGGTCAATGCAATCATTCCTGAAATTAACTGTATACGATTTTAATTACTAAATTATTTCTACCAATATATACTATACTTTCAGCTCTTTCCTGGGTTGTGGCATCACCAAAATCGTCAATGCTGATTTTGGATATACAGTGCAAATATATCATAGCTAAACAAGAGAAAAAAGGAAAATCGGAATATAACTTGATTATACAACTGTAAGAACGGCAACAAAATAAGACAGGTTGGAAATGGTGGACTGTTCACAGACGAAGAATTTGGTAAAATTGTTGAGCACTTTCTACGAGAACAGCAACTCAACCAAAATGCTTCAATTTCCGCAAGCAAACTTGGCCTTAAATTTTGCTATTTTTTCGTTCCCGTTTGGTAAATATAGTTCTAAGGTTTCTACGCATTTACATATCACTGATTTTCAAATGTTTAAGTTTGAGCGTTCCTGATGATGGTAAATAAAAAAAGCGCTTCGGACAAATGATAATAATCAATTGTTATTTTCATTTATAATGTATGTTCCTGTTTTGGAAGAGGATATACATGATATAATAGAAGGAAAAGCAATTAATTTGAGGCAACTGTAGTTTATCTATGTTCAAAACTCAAAAATCTGTGACAGCAATAATTTTCATTTTATTTCTAGTGTCAAATAATAGTAAAGTTCTATATATTTATTCAATTTAATTTATCATGCAGTATTTTTTTATGTTTTCTTTGATTTAAGTAATTTTGACTACAAAAATTTGCTGATTAGGCTTTTACACACTGCGTACTTTATAATCCGCTTGTCGTTGTCTATTGTCTTAAATACTATAACAATCGATTTCTTATCTTCTATCATTTATAATGTGCATTTAATTGATAATCCAAATGAGATCTAAAGTTAGGTTATATAGGAATCTGATAAGCTAAGCTACGTTAAATTTCTGTAACGGGTAACCCGTAGTGAACAAAACTTTTATACTTGACTTTGCCGTCTGTTTTTATTAGTGTTGTCAAATCGAACAGTTTTGCCTAACCGGTTACTCGGATAATCTTTCGACCGATTAACCGTTTAACCGGTAGTAAAGTTGATGTTTACAGGCCTTATCTACATTACTCTACAAATGCACGGTTTTTGATACGATGAATAGAACTTTATCCTTGTGATTTATAAGGCTTGGCTTGGAACATTACTGGAAAGTTAGGGTTAGCGTTAGGGTTACTTTTGATAATTCAAAACTACCATATGCGTTTGTAATAACTGCATTCAGATTGAGAAGATGAAAATCTTCTTGATCTCGGCGAATTGACAAAGTGTAATTGTGGTGATCGTTTCAATTTCTCTGGTGTTACCCAGAAAATTCCGTGGAGTGTTTCAATTTGAGAAGATTAAGCATGTTACTCGTACCATCCAGTATACATTAATTCCAATCACATAATTTTCATGTATGATTGATTTGTTATATTCGAATTGGTTTTTGATATATTTGAATTTATAATAATTATTGAATTTTTTAATTGGTGTTTAATTGACTCAGACTGTGAGCTATTCCCGAGGACATTTCTTATAGCTGGTCGTCCAATATCCCTGTTGTAAATCCCTTTAAAGGATACAAATAAAGTGAAAACAACAAAAACAAACCTGAGTGAATCGCATTTACTCCAAAAGGAGCGAAATCAGGTGCGTCGACAGAGTAAGCGCTCTTTATATGCATAAATCATCAGGCAATCAAAAACACAATCAATGAAAAAGTGACAATTAGCTATAGGACACAATCGCTAAACAGATCAAACGACTATTCCGGTATCTAAAGATTTAAGAATAGAAACGAAAAAAATGTCGCGAGTGAGTGAAGACACACACAAACCTATTCGTGATGTTGTTTATACAACGTAGGTGGTGTCGAATCCAGTCTTTCTTTTTCATATCTCTCTAGCAGTTTGTTTTTGTAAGGAGCACACACCTATTAATGAAGTCCGTATAGTGTGTGAAGAAACGCTTTAGCAAAGCACAGAAATAAAATTGCATGCAAAATATAAGTGAACTAAAAAGATAAAGAAGATACCAAGGGGCACTTTTTTAGAACAAAGCGTCAATACCTCATTGAAATAAATCGTATTTATACTATCGTTCTGTAGGTTCTAGGTGATATAAACTATACCGTACTTTGTGTCTATTGTGTTTTTGTTAATTTGTTGTGCTTTGTACTGCAGAGATGAGTGAAGCCCTATTCAGCTAATTTATATCTGGCCTGCAACGAGAGATAGGGATTACTACCCGGCGGCGTCGGCAGCGTAAACTAATTGTATAAAACTTTATATTTCAGAAGGTAGAGTTTGTTTTGGTCTGTTTTTCAAGTACTATAAGCAATAATTCAACTATATTTGGTGTATGGAATAATTGTAAGGTGCGCATGTTGGTCTAGCTGGTATCATCTGACCTTGACCACATTTTCAGGGTATCATTGGTCAATGTTGTTTTTGTGTTTTGGTCTGTTTTTCAAAAACTAATAGCAATAGGTCAGCTATATTTGTTGTATGGAATAATTCCAAGACGTACATGTCTGTCTGGCAGGTATCATCTGACCTTGACCTCATTTTCATAGTTCATTGGTCAATGTTAAGTTTTTGTGTTTTGGTCTGTTTTTTAATTACCATAAGCAAAAAGTCAACTTTATTTGGGGTGTGGAATATTTGTAATGTGCACATGTCTGTCTGACATAATTTATCTGACCTTGACCTCATTGTCATTAACTTTCAAAGAGTTAAGTTTATGTGATACTTGTAGTAAAACCTTCATCTTTAAGACTTTCAACATAAATCAAAGGTAGGTAAAGCAGGCGATACATTTCAGCGTGTTATACTAGTAGTTGGTTTTTATGTTGTACTGATACATCACTATCCAAGGTTAGGTGGAGGGTTTAGAAGTTTAACCCCGCCACATTTTGAATGTACCTGTCACAAGTCAGGAGATTGTAGTTTAGTGGCTGTCAGTTGCTGTATATTATATCTGTTTTTCCTTATTAATATAGTACATAAATCAGGCCGTTAGTTTTTCTCGTTGGAATTGTTTTACATTTGTCATTTCGTGGCCTTTTATAGCTTACTATGCGGCATAGGTTTTGCTAATTGTTGAGGACCGTACGGTGACCTTTAGTTGTAAATTTCTACGTCATTTGGTCTCTAGTGGAGAGTTGTCTCATTGGCAATCTTATCACATCTTGTAATTTTTATATACATCGATTCTATAATCAAAATAACATGGTATTCTGTATGTAAGAACGTAGAACATTTTACCCCAAAGGAAAGACAGTTTATCTTTTTGTAAAGAAAATATAGAACGGGATTTTAGAGGTATAGGGATTTGTTGTACTAATACATGCATTATAATTTTAATCGGTAGACATTTTAGTTCAATGTATCTGTATAACATTTTAAGATTTAGACGCAATGGTATAGTCGTATGCAATTTTTTTTTCTAAGAGATCGTCCATTTACGCTTTACACATTTTTACTTGTAAACTTTCAAATTCTAATTTACTTAATGAAGATTATACCGGAAACAACTGCCATGGGCAATAAAATAGGCATCATTGTGAATTCCGGAAACTCTTATTTCAGAATGTCAATGATCTTTTTCCACCAACTTCCGATTCCTCAAATTGATTCATATCGGCTTTTTTCTCGACTTGAATATGCATGAAATATATGGCAGTGGAAGTTTGGCGAACGTGTTTTATCAATTTCAATGTCAAGTATTCATTATGTTTCAGTTTATATATATGCGACTGATCTGACTGTGATCTTTAAAAACCCTCACTAAAGTGACATCATTGTTTTATGTTTTCTTTTGTAAATTACATCCATACTATCATATAGTTATATATATATACAGAAAACATGCAACTATAGCTTTATTGATTTAGAATCATAGCATAAACGTCAAATCACATAGCACAAACATCAAGATATATGAAAACATTAGAAAAGAACCGCATTAACATTTTAAGCAAATCAGGATTGAATTTAAGCCAATCAATTGATTTATACTAGCGTTCTGAAGGTGGAGTTGAAAATTGTATTTAATATTGTTCAATTGAAACTGAGGGCGAAAAAAATATGTATTCGGTGTCAGTTATTTTCTTGCCTGGGCATTCGTATTCGGTTTTGAACTTGTCATTCACATACACAAGAATACTACTTTCCGTTACCGGCTTTAGTTTCAGCTTGAATGAGTTGGCAAAATAAATCTCCTTGACGTTGTCATCCTGAATCGTCATTGTCTTACTATCCCATGATGTTTTCTTGTTGGCTTCGTTGACTTGTAGTGTTCTCAAATAAACAGTCGACTCTGGGACTACTGGTTTGAAATGGAAAATGATGCCGGCGTCTTCTTCCTTTCCTTTTTTTTGAAAGTTTATTCCATACCCTCTAAAATAAAAACAAGAAATAATTCAGAAGGATTTCTAACTTGATAAATGTTAAGTAACGTCAAAGTGCACAGAGTACCAAAATTGCATCCATTATGCAAAACAAGCATAGGAAGTCTTATATGTTTTCTAAGAGACGAAACATAAGGCTTTCCTATCAACATAGCTAAATATACTTAAATATACACAAAACGGCCACATTATATATAAACAAATAAAGTTGCCAGTGAAAAAAAGCAAAATTTACGGAAACGTTGCTTGTGACGTCTACAAAATGTCTGCTTTTGAAAATGAGAAAATTAACATTTGTCACAGACATCCATTTCATACATTGCATTACAAGCATGGACTATTGTCAAATTGTTCAAATAGGTGGCGAAATAACACAAAACATCAGTTTTTCGATTTTTACAGATGTGTTCATAATCATGGATGCAGTTTAGGTACGACTCATTACAGTAATATGGATCGTTTGGAGGTCGGTTCAAACCCATTTTTCTATGATTCAGAATGGATTCAAATTAAATTTGTGGAACTATCTAGGGAATAAGAATACATCTATAAAATAAATACAGAATGGAAACTTTTGTATGTTTCTTAAATTAACGTGTAAACACTGTCAAAATAGGTGCAATTTTGGTACCCTCACGTTAAACGTATTTTTGTTCCATGAAAAATATAATAATAAATGATTGAATGGTACATCGATATTCAGAGGATATTAGACGAACTGTAAAAAATATAAAATATGAGGGAAGAACAGAAAACGTTAGACGTCACATATTGTTAAGCAAACCAATTTGGCTTTAGACCTACCAGCGCAAACATTCTGTTCAAACTTAACATCTTCATGTACAAAAATAAGTTCAAAGAAGACCTTAAGAGCCCAGGTTGAACTCTAAATCAGTTGGTATACCCTGGTGGACTAACAAACAGTCCACTTGCAGAGATATCGACCCAGTGGTTGGAAATACCAATAACGCTACCAATTTTCCTGCACCAAATACGCATTTCAACAATTAATATATCTTCAGTGTTGTTCGAAGCAAAAATATTGAAAATCCAAAACCTAATACAAACTTTGAAGAGCAGCTATTAAAATCAAAAAGGACCAAACGTAAAGCTTAACCCAGAGAAGCAATCAGATATATACATAAGGAAGATACATTCCTAAATTACTATCAATTCCATAACTGTATCGTTTCTTATTTCATTCTTAGTTTAAACAATATTTTTTTCAATGATTTAAATCATACAATATTCGATAATACAATATAAACAAATAGGACACAGAAACACGCAATATTGCTGATTTTAATGTTACTCCAATGTTTCATGCTTGCATTAAAGTATTGTTAGAATACACTTTTAGTACCTATCCAGTATATTCCCGTATGTTCGTGTGCGCATGAAAATTTCAATATTTTGGCCGGTAAATAATTTCTATTGCTTTAGTGTACATAAAAATAAATACTTGTGCCTATAGTGTTGATAAAGAAAGATTCCTAGTGCTATTTGTACATAATTTTATCATTTTTAAAAGCGCTATTTTCTATAGTTCACGTATATCCATTTACACATAAAAAATTTACAATTTTTTACATGAAAACGGTTTTAATGTTTATGTCAATAATTTTCGTATGTTTGTGGGCACATGAAAATTTACACATTTTTACATAAAAACTATCCCTATAGTTTCTTTCTATAGTTCGTGTATGTACGTGTGCGCATTTGTTTTTTTACCTAACATCATTTCATTCAAAACTTTCAAATAAAAAATGTTCTACTGGCAACTTCGAATAAAAATTTAAAATAGAACAACTGGTCCTTATAGTTTTTGATTAAAGTTTAAAGGCGATTATTTAATATATTCTTAATTTGCAATTACCTTTAAAATCTTTAATTATTTTTTATCAATTTTCCTTTAAAATTAATTTTTTTCTTACTGAATCATAGAGGTTATAGTTATACATACTGTGGGTCAGCCATTTCGCTGCTTTTATTGCACGTAACCTCTATGGTGAATTCCTCACCTACCACTATTCGTTTTCCCCATGAAGAAAGTTTTACCTGTAAAAGTTTAAAATATCAATTAACAATACTAATAACATGTGTTGCCTTTATTGTCTACTGTGCTAGATGTAGTTTTTAGCGCTTTCAACTTGGTCAAACTACGTTATTTTTCTTTAAAATGATTTTCCTTGTGATCACCACCCTGTCCCCCATCAAATTTGCATGTACAGTATTTTGATTTTACCAACTGAAATAAATAACAATTCCATTCCCCGTAAAACTTTGCACTACTGTTAAAAGTAATACGTCGATGTTCCAAACAGCCAAAAATTATGAAGCGAAGAACACCGCTGCATAAATAAAAAAGGAGATATGGTATGATTGCCAATGAGACAACTATCCAACAGTGACCAAAGGACGTGGATGAAAGCAGCTATAAATAGGTAACCATACGGCCTTCAATAATGAGCAAATCCCATGCCGTATACTAAGCTATAAAAGACCCTGGGATAACTAAATTTGAAACGATTTAAACGTAAAAAGCTTGTTCTATGTATGTTTTTATTGTATTGTTGGATTGCTGTTTTATTGACGTATACATGGTATATCAGCCAAAATTTTGGTTTAAACATTAATAATTTTCAAAGCAGGGAAATATATCTAGAGGACATACATCATAGTAATAACACAACCTTACATCAGGGTGGGGTGAATTACATTGCAATGTAATGCATTATTTTACAATTACTTTGACAAAACCATGCATTAAATACAATTACAATTACATGCATTTATCAAAGTAATGCATTAAATTAGAATTACTTTTGCAAAGTAATGCATTGAATTACACATTACATTTGTAAATGATATTATTACGTGAAAAAAAATTAAACATTTTGAAAAACAACATGAAATCACAAAAGATTCTAGCATATGCAGTATCTGTTCCGTTTATATATTGAATTCAAGTATCAAGTAAAAAGTCTATTCAATACAACTATTACAATTTAACATCATAAGGGTTTCAAGGTATACATCTCTGTGTTTTCTCTAAAATGAAATTACAGAGATGAAGTTTAATATTTATTTTAACTAATGTTTACTTCACTTTTATAAATAGAAATACATTTGCTTTTTTAATTCCAATCAAAAATATTTACTGAGAATTTCTTTCCTAATTAAATAATAAACAAAGAGCTTAATTTATTACCATGTGTCAAAATGGTGAAAAGATTGATTGTAAAACAAACTAATTAGTATTTTATGACAATGTTCAATTATCTGTTATTTAATCATGACAAGGTATTCATTGATCTTTTGACAACAATAAAACACGTTTACAGTAATCCTTTTCAAATATAAAAAAAATAATATTCAAAAGTAAAATCACAAAAATACCGAACTCGAAGGAAAATTCAAAAAGGAAAGTCCCCAATCAAATGGCAAAATAAAAAAAACAAACACATCAAACGAATGGATAACAACTGTCATATTCCTGACTTGGTACAGGCATTTTCTTATGTAGAAAATGGTGGATTGAACCTGGTTTTATAGCTAGCTAATTAAACCTCACACTTGTATGACAGTCGCATCAAATTCCATTATATTGACAATGATGCGTGAACAAAACAAACAGACACAATAGGTAAAAATGTCAAAAATAGGGGTACAGCAGTCAACATTGTGTTATCATCTTAATCACTATAAAAACAAACAAATGTAACGAAGAAGCACAAAAAGGCATACATCAAATTTAAAATCCTCATTTGGTTATATTATACGATTTTATTTATCTATGTAAAATCCACCCATAAAGGAGAGAAGGTTTTAAGTACTGGCGTAAAATCGCGCGTTTGGAATTCGCACAGGTAGACATAAAATAATTTTGTCGTTCAAAGTATGAGGGGATGCATAAATACAGAGTCACGTAAAATGGATACAACAAAACACAGACTTAACAGTAAAAGTAATATTAATTAATAAAATAAAATAAATATGTGGTACAAAGTATGACGATATACATAAGTACAGAGTCACGTCAAATGTATATCACAAAAAACAGACTCAACAGTAAAAGTAATATTAATAAACAAAATAATTTTTTCGTTCAAAGTACGACGGGATACATAAGCACAGAGTCACGTCAAATGGATATCTCAAATAAACCAGACTTAACAGTAAAAGTAATATTAATAAAGATAAATAAATGAATACTATAACACGTTATTAAGATGATAAACAACGTCAGTACGCAAAATCTATACTTCAAGACCATCGTGTATTATTTGTGAAGTTGATACGGAATGTTTATCAACAAGTTCTTCGTACCTTCCGATGAACTTTTTTTAGAAAAAGGGCGAGACGTTCTTTGACATACCCCTGGTTCATCAACTTTCTGCTCAGACACTGGTGACGTTTTACAAAGTCTGAGTAGGAGCTGCAAGCTCTTGAATACCGAATAAGTTGGGAAATGTATATCCCATATGCAGGTGAAGTTGGTATATTGCTACTAAGGTGGGGGAAATTGATAATTTCAAAATTAAAATCGTCTCGTTTGTCATAGATTCTGGTACTGAGATGACTGTGTATGTCAAATTCGAGGTATAAGTCTAAAAATGAGGCGGAGGAAGCCGTGTCTGTTGTTTCTTTAATTTATAGTTCTGGTGGATATATTAATGGAACCCAATCAGAAAAGTTCGGATTGTTAATGTTCAAATGATTATGTTCTAAATTAATCCAGAAATCTTAAATTCCGCTTTAACTTAATCTCCAACAATCTGTTAAAGATATATAGTATGTGAAAAAATTAATGCCATATAATGCAATGTAATGCATGAAATTACACAACTTTTTGCTAAAGTAATGCATTAAATTACAATTACATGTAATGCAAAAATTGGTGCAATTACTTGGAAAAATGTAATGCATTACCATGCATTACAATTACAAATTTGCATTACCCCATGCCTGCCTTACATTATCGAATATCTAGCCATATTCAACCCCGTATTTGCATATTCCATGAAATAAAACCAAAGACTGCGGTTGCCAGAAATTTTGACATAATTATTTTAATAGCATAGAAAACAAGTTCCGCCAATTTTGAAGAAAATAACATTCTGAAAATTAGACGAGAATGGATACGTTTTTTATATTTTTGGAACGTATTACGGCATTTTGACAAAGATTTGATACATATCGCATTTTGTAATTTGAAGTTATATTTTCTCAATGTCCGTCATTTTGATATTCACATCATTTGTGTAGGAGGCGTATCTGTATGGGAAACATATTGATATATGATTCTTTAGTCCGACCGTGTCCTGGAAAATTATCGTGATTCGAGACAGTCAGTGAATCGTTATATCCCTATAATGAAAAAAAAATTATTTTGGTTTCTCAAAATACCAGGACTAAACTCAAAAGTAAGAAAATTAGAAACATTGAAACCTATTGACAATCCTAGTGAATAGAGAACGAAAAGAAACATTTGTTTTCTGATTTCTAGTCAGGGGAAACCCTCAGTTTAAAACCATTTTTCTCTTTCTGTCAGTTCTAAATTAGCTTACAGCAAATGCTTTCTTAAATAACTTACAGTAAATGCTCAATTAAACAAAATGTATATAAAATAATCTTAAATCAAAGCATGCAAAGAAAATGTTAATGAGTAGTACGTTTCTTGAGATGATAAAGTCATATGAAACTTCAAATTTAAAAAAAAAGTTGAATATGTTTTATATACCCGAATGGCTAAGTTTTACTATAAATCAAGTGAACGTGAACTTTCTTTTAAAAGAAAATCCTTTATATTATCAAAATCTTCATAAATTTACCGATATTGAATGATGTCTTCCCAGACACTAATTCGCCGATATTTTCCAGTAGGCAGTGACCTTAACTACAAGACCTCTCGTTATAACTTCGGCCACCGCACAGCGCAAGTGCAAGAGGAAAACCGTAATGAAAGAATGTAAACAAACGTGTTCTGGAAGGTAAACAGTAGTAACAGATTCTTAAAGAACAAATTTAATACAACAAATCGTTTAACAACTGTTATGGAAAAGTTTAATAATCAAATAGGAACGCATGGAAAATATAAAAAAAAAAATGTCATGGCTCTTTCAATTCACTTACTTGTCACGTTTTCCACGTGATCTGTTTTTATTGTTTATCAATGTCACATTCCGGTAAACTTCGGCAACAAACTCGAAAGTTAATTTGCTTGCAATCAACAATCACTGAATGAAATATCATTTGTCGATAATACGTTATAGATTTGTAATAAATATAAAAAAAACGTGCATACAAGACTAAGTTTAGTATATATGCATGCATTGGTTCAATAATTTCGATAACATTAAAATTTCAAGAGACTCGTTTCATATGAATTTAAGCATTCCTGAAATGAAGCTATTAACATGTAAAATATGTTAATCAGACATATAGTTGTTACCATTCCAGCAGATCAAATACTTACGTAATTCATAGTTATTGTGCTTTTCTCCTGCAAAGAACAGCATATGATTTACTTGAAAAATCTTTATTTACCTAATTTGATAGGAGAGCTAGACAAAATAAGAAAAACTTTACCTTAATGTTGTTAACCGTCCCATTTCCAGACTAGTTGCTAAATTAATGAAGCATTTTGTTCTTCCAAATATATGTTGAAGGAAGATCAATGCACTTTTTTAAATTTATTAATCTGTCAATCAATATGTGTCTTTAAGTTTAATACTATAGTTTGACCGAACTGTTGCTCTTATAAATGACAAATCTTTCCGAATCATGCATTTTACAATATTTACGTTTGTAGAAATCTAACTGATAAATAACATAAAATAAATGCCACTTCGATTGGTATGTAACCAATAGCTGCGATATCATATATAAATATATTGAATAATGGAGGACTTATTTTGTCTCTTAAACGTACCTCTGAGTTTATTCTAAAAATGGAGAGAAAACATTATCAAATTTGAGTGATGATACTAAGCTTGAAAACTAGTTATAATAACGATAGATAATTTAGACAATTTTCCATACCCCTTATTTAGCTATTTGAAAAAGATCATATTGCCTTGGTCAAATGCTTTTAAGTTACAAAGCACGCATATATTATTTGATTATTCTTTTGCATGTATCTATTTATCAAAGTATTAAATGTAACAAACTATCAAATCCCATAGGTAGAAAAATAGCTCTTCTTTGGGTTCCAAAGACAAAATAATGCCCCTCAACTCTCAAAAAAGACCTATAAATGAACCATAAAGAAGAACTATTGCTCGTACTCATTTACCAGTGGAGATTTAAATGTTCTCCAAGCACATCCCCAATCTGACCGGACGTGACTGCAAATATAGCTTCACAGGTACAAATTATTTCCTCTGGGTTATTTATTATCCTTTTTGATACCTAAAAGATGGATCATAAAAAAATAACATTTTGTACTTTACATCTATTAACCTTCACTGTTGGGCTTATATTCCTCTATGATTCTATCATACTTGTCGTGAATGTTTCTGCAATACCCTGATTATTGCTTTTCAACTTGTTTATGAGTCGGCCTTCTAACTGTTTTGATTCGTAAGCCTCTGACGAGTCTTATGTCAGGAGTACCAAATCATAAGCCTGGTGTCTTTGATAAGATTTTCTATTACGTATATCTTGATGAATTATCGGCTAATACATTTTGCAATTATTATCAAAGCTAATTTTTGCATTGTTTTTGCTCATAATTAAAAGAAGGCATTGGTTAAATACGAAAATTAAACATACATTATATCTAGCATCTTACCTCAAGTTGAAGTGCCAGTTGAAGGTAATCTTTCTTGAATACAAAATAGTTTTTGTGACTATCAATTTATATGTGTTCTTGCTTCTTTAAAAAAAGATATCCAATAGCTGAGCTCCATACGTATCAAACAATTAGTTTTTCGCTGATTATGTAATTAAGGAAACGAAATTTAGATAATTTATCATATGAATATGATACCATTTTCACAAGAATATAATGTAAAAATTAATTTCCGTCTTTTTGCAACTTTTTGGGGGTTCATTTAAAAGGTACAATCTTCCTTAAGGAAACATTCTTCAAAAATGTAAAGTCATGAACATAATAAAACCAGTTCACAGGTTTTTACTTGTCAATCAATGCTAACATTGATAGTATTTGTCAAAGAAAAATTCATTGTAGTGTATATTTATGAATTTATCAAATCTATTTTGCTTATTGCAAAAAGTGTGAAGATATAAATTGCTAACAAATACTTTCATTTATACATGTTATATTTAATCTCTGGTCTTAATTGAACGATTTTATCATGTTTGTATGTACAACCCTGAATGTTGCAAATTATTACCCGTCCTTGATACAATATCAGTTCTTACGTTACTAACGCCAAACGCCATATTTTTTTTCAAATGATAAATTGCCTATTTAAGTCTTGTTTGTTTTATGAATGTAATAACATTAACTGTTCCAATTTTTTGGCACCAGATGGGCATTTTGACAATAAATGCTTCTTCAGTGATGTTCGATGCCAACATATTTGAATATCCAAAAATGATTAAAATAATGATGAGCTTATAAACCAAACATGTGATGAACGTACTTTTGGAATAACTTTTATCATATAATGTCTAGATCTAGACTAAACGTTTTGGGAAGTCGACATTAGAAAGCGATTGACAGAATCACAACCAAATGTCATACCATAGTAAATAGATCAGTAAAAGGTATACTTTGGCAAAGTTGCAACCTTAATCTTAGTACGTTTGAAATATTATAAACTGTGCCATTAGAATTATGATATCAACGCAGTGAGGGATATTTACAAGAAAAACGTTTTTAATAATTACATCGGATATATCCCATATATATTACAGAATCATTGTGCAAAACTTAACAATAACTTAAACGAAACTTAACGCAATATTTTTTCTATGTGTTAATCACATTATGCAAACAACTAAGTAAAGAAATACGAAATTGACCAGGAAAGCTAATATCGAATCCAAAATACACTTAGTAAAAAGGGAATCATGGGTAATCAAACATTGTCAAAGGTCTGCGTAATGTTTTTTTAAGCCAACTGGATCTTCCAATCATTCTACTGGATACCGAACTTAAACAGGCATTCTTGCAAACAACATGTTATTGCTTGTTCTCCATATGTGAGGCTTCAGAGTTACGGTAAACCATTTTTTGTAGGGGAGATTTAAACCAGATTGAGAAAAATTCAAATGACCTGTTTCAGCATAATAGTCACTGTCCTTTTCCTCATGGAAAAACTATAAAACATTTGATTTCTCTTATCTTCATATGAATTTCTCATCTTTATTTAGCAAAAAGAAATGAAAAATGTATCCGCATTTGTTTAATAAAAAGAATGGCATACTAAGATAATTTTTTAAAGAAGAGACATACTCCCGGTATATCTTTTTAAAACTGAAATTATCGAAAACCCGGTCATTTTGATTGAAATTATATTTGTTATGTTCGTTCGAGATGGACATTAAGTCTACAATCCAATGGAAACAACTACGCTTATTCGGCGAATTTTTTTTATTTGTATGAGGCAGATGTCAAAAAGGGTTTTTCATAAAATCAAGGTGGCATTATAATTCCACTACACTCAGCATTATCCTACCACTTCACGCTCAAATTTAATGGTAATTGTCTAACACAAAAGATTGGTAACTACATTTTGTATTTTTACTATCCCACTGAAGTTGAAAGATTAATGTAGATGCACTCTGATCTGCTTCATACATTTAATGACACACTGAACCTGACAGTGTGAATAGGTTGAATCTAAACTTAACCCTTCTATAAAAGATATTACGTCTGTTTCCCAATTGTTGACCCTCCATATTAATGCAGCTTTACAGACGCCATTTTATGATTTTGGTTGACAATTACTTATATTGTCACAGATGATCACAGATATTTTGCATTTATCATTGGTAAAATTTCGTCTTTCTTTACTCTTTCATGACGTATCACCGTGAGCAACACAAAGGATTCAATTAGTGGAGCGCGAATTAATTTTTTAATTTTGTCGTTAAGTCTTATCTTTAGTTTTCTGTTTAATGTATTCTGGACCGTCGTTTGTCATATCATATTATATTGACCGTAGTATTGTCTGATGGTGGACATATATATGATTTTGCTATTTGTTTTAATTTCAACCAGCAAAATTCATGAATAAAATTCATCTATCTGAAATTTCTCTTAGTACATCGCATGTCTTCATTGTTTATTGGTCTAGAGAAGTCATCTTTTCTCGGAAGATTATAATAAATGTAGCAAATTTCTAAGATAACTTTATTTGACCTTTCATTTATTGTAATACGCTGTTGTCTTCATCTACATGAGTTTATCGTTAGATACCTTTGCTTTAGTTCGACATGTACATATTCAAATTTGACAAAGAATAGATTTTAATGAACGCAATGCGATTATAACAAAAATGTTTTTCATAAAGTAATATATTGCATATATTTATAAGATTAATATAATTAACTATCACCAATACCAAAAGATTGACCGATACGATGTGTCTGCGCATCAACGCACCAGCGATATGTTTTCCCGGTCCTAGATCTTTATATGACAGACTGAGAATAGTCGGCTTATATGTAATTTTACAGATTGTGTCATATCTCCGATTGTGACATTTCCACTGAGTGTGGATTTGCCTGGCGGGCGATGCATGTATTGTAAGAAACGCTTACCCTGACGACGCAAACAGTATCGCTCCTTTATGATATCCTCAGTTTTTATTTGCTACATTGATTTGTATCTCCTCAATAGATTTGTGAGATTTGAACATCTGTGAACAACTGTTGTCTAAAAAATTCATATAATTAATTGTTTTGGGTACTTTAAAATAAATAATCAACAACTGTAATGTTAATCAATAGATACACCAAGGGTTGACTTGGGAATAGATATATGGTCGTGCCTGGACTTCCCCTGTCCGGCAGTGCAACCCTTGCTGGTGGAGCGTTTGTTTTGCAGCCACGTCTGGTTAGAATGAGAACGTTAAATTCAATACCTCAAGTAGAGTGAGTGCCACACTTTTAATACGTCTAAGAACCTTTAACATGAGCAACACGACGGGTACCGCATGTGGAACAGGATCTGCTTACCCTTCCAGAGCATCTGATATCACCCCCCTTTTTTTTGGTGGGGTTCGTGTTGCTCAGTCTTTAGTTTTCTATGTTGTGTTTTGTGTTCTGTTGTTTGTCTGTTTGTTTTTTTCTTTTTTTTAGCCATGACGTTGTCAGTTTATTTTCTACTCATGAGTTTGAATTTCCCTTTGGTATCTTTCGTCTCTCTTTTGTAGTTACTCTATGAGGAGTCTTTTTGTTGTCTATTGTAAGTCAAAACTACTGCTACCATCCAACATATCCTCAGTTACCAGTGGCAGTCCTAATTTAATGTCCTATATCCGGATGAACATTACCTGCAGAACCTACCAGCTGTATTTATTGTTAAGCTGTCTGTCCTGCATATGAATGAAATATTTGCCACATATGAAATTAACCAAGTAACAATCAATCAATCAATTAACCAAGGTTATTAGTGGAAGTATTCCTTTCACCAAATTTGGTTAACCTATCACTTAATCAGGAGGTGAACCAAGAACAACGTATTTAAGTCTATTCGTTAAATACAAGGTCAAGAACAGAATCAATCTGTCAGACGAATAATGGACTTAATAGTCGAAAGACGAATATATACATCTTATAATTGGCGAAGAGAGCAGATACATTCCTTTAATTTGTCGTAATAGCGTAGAAACTGACCAAGGCACGAAAAGGTTACATGTTGAATAAATTGGTCGTAGTCAAGGACTCTTGTCAGACTGATATATACACCTTACGCCCTGTCTATATACAAAATGAAGTCCATTTATAACTTAGAGAAATTGAGAAATATTCTATATACCAAACATTGTCAAACAATCAAATTTGAAATTTAAACTGACCTATGCGCGAAAACTAATACAAATATTTGTGTTCTTTTTGTCGCAAAAACGAAACATATTCTGTTTTTAGATTCAAAGGAATATATTCTGTTTGTTCCATGATTAGATTATGTTCCTTCGACGTCACAATAATGAAAATAGTAACAACAGTACATAAAACGTTTATGATCGCTTTAAAAGTAATCTCCATTGAAACTGTATAAACTCCCTTAAATATACTATTCAAAGTTGATCACAGACTGTTTGCTTTCAGTAAACTTATAGTCCATTCCATGCCAAAGGACAGGTTATAAGAATCTACACAGAGTTAAATTAGAGGCAACAGTAGTTTAACGATGTTCAAATCGCATTAATCCATATAAAATAGACACATCGAGGTACAAAACGAAAAAAAAAAAAAAAAGGATTGGCATTAAATGCAAAATCAGCTAGACCACGGGATTCAACTGTTTACGTTTGGACTTATCCTAAAAATGATCACATGGCGAAACATATTTATTTACTTTTTTTTTTAAATCTGCTTCTTTTCTTCCTTTTTTTTTTGGTGAAAAAACAGTTTACATAACTAATCAATATTTTCATGTAAATATTTAGTGCGCTGCTTTATACATTCGAGCTTAATTATGGGCATCCGATACAGTTTCACTTTGCATTGTCGTTTTTATAATATTGAAATATGTTGTTAGCCTAGGCGACTTGTAAAATAATTCATCAAATAAAACATTAGTTTTAAAAAAATTGAGGCTGAAAGTTAAAAAAAAGTTATAAAATTTTAAAAGTAGGTTTTCTTCATTAATTCAATTAATTGATTGATTTGATTTACTGATTGGTGTTTAAAACCACTTCCAACACTATTGTTCTATTTCGTGGCGGTCAGTTTTTATTAGTGGAGGAAACAGGAGTGCCCTGAGAGAACCACCGAACTTTGGTAGGAAAACTGACAATCCTAGT